TAAGGCAAAGTATTCCAGCCTTCTCTCCGAGAACTGTGTAATTTGTGACTATTTCTACAAGTACCTTGTGCCGCTTGTGTTCCAGAAGCAATACGTGCTCACTGTGGACAAACATCAGGAAAAAAATTCCATCGTCCTGAGGGAAAGCCACGATGGATGTTTTAGTCCATCTATATGTCCCACTAAAGTCACCACCTTTTTATTTTTTCTGCGTGTACACATTGCTTTTCATCTTTATACACTTGCCACTCTGCGTGTGGACATAGACAAGCAGTGGCAGCGTGGTGTGGGCACCATGGGGTGGGGGTTGAAAGACATGCAGCATCGTTGTGACCCCGCCCAGGCCCACGTCTCATCCAGACTCCCTGGTTAGCCCCTTGGGCACTAACATCTGAGAAGCACGGCTCTGCAAAGGTGTCTTGTCCACTAAATTTGTTGAAGTCAATCCACTGATTTCAGTCAATCCACAACTGGGGCATCTTTATCAAAGCCCAAGGTGCTCCACAAACCATCAGGCCTGGGGCAGGTGGGGGCCCTCCCCTCCCTCAGGAGAGGCCCAGCCACTGGCATTCCTGTAGGAGCGCGTGCAGGCCTTGGGGAGACTCATGAAGTGTTGGTCACTGTGCACTCGAGAGGGGCAGTCACTGAGAGAACACACATATACACCACACATACAACCTACACACACCACAAACACACACACAGACACAGACATTCCTAGAGAAAGGAAGACGAGGGGTAACACAGAGCTCACCAGTCAGGAGAATTATGCTCTGTTGGGCTGGACTGACTTAGGCAGAATTTACAAACACGATGACTCACCATGGGAGGTACCTTAAAACCCTATCCTTTCAATAGGGTGTCCTGTGCTAATTTTGATTGAAAAGAGCCTCTGTTTTAATCACCTCCACTTTGCCAGCTATCTAGAACCTTTGAGCCATTTGGTAAACTGGATTACCCTTCTCTCCTGCATTTTTGTTTAAGAATTATCTTATCTGGGCTGGGCACTGTGGCCTGTAATCCCAGCACTTTGGGAGGCTGAGATGGGTGGATTACCTCAGGTCAGGAGTTCAAGACCAGCCTGGCCAACATGGTGAACCCTGTCTCTACTAAAAATACAAAAATTATCCGGGCATGGTGGCAGGCACCTGTAATCCCAGCTACTCAGGAGGCAGAGGCAGAAGAAT